AAGGCAATTTGAGAAAGGAGACAGAATCTCGCCTCTGCCTTGAAGGATGATGTTAGTTTGCGAAGGCTGCCGGAGTGAGCACCACGGGCTGGGCGGCTGAAACAACTGAAATTTATTTTCTCACAATCTTGGAGGGAGGCTAGAAGTCTGAGATCAAGGCTCTGGCCGGGGCCAGTTTCTTCTGAGACTTTGTAGGGGGCCACCTTCTCACTACGTCCTTACATGGCCCTCCCGCTATCCCTATCCGTGTCCTAACCTCCTTTTCGTCCGAGGACACCAGTCATACCGGTTCATGGCCCACTCATATGACTTCATTTCATCTTAGTTAGCTGTCTCCAAATATACTCTTCTCCTGAGATACTAAAGTCTTCAGCATATGAATTCTGGGAAGACACAGTTCAGCCCAGACCAAGGGGAAGGTACAGCGGACCTGTGTTTGCTTCTCTTTCCTGCACCTGTATTAGTTTCCTGTTGTCATCATAACAAATGACCACAGATGTTTTGGTCTGAACAACACAGATTCATTTTCTTACAGTTCTGCAAGTCCTTAAGTCAAGTGCTTGTAGGGCCTCTGGAGGCTGAGGGGGGCGGGGAGGAGCTGTCCCGCTGCCTTCCCCAGCTCACACAGGCTGCCCACATTCCTTGCCTTTTTGGCCCACATTAGCCTGACATCTGCACCGGTCATTACATCTCCTTCTCTGTCTCTGAATCTCTGTCCTATATCTTACAAGGGTTCTTGGGATTACATTGGGCTGCCCAGATAATCCAGGATAATCTGCTTGTTTCCTTAATCACATTTATCAAGTCCATTTGTCGCGTAAGGTACCAGTCACAGTCTCAGGGATTAGGCCATGAATGTCTTGGTGGTGCTGGGGGCATTGTTTACCCCAGCACTGCCCATCCCATCTCCCCTACTCTAGCCTGGAAGAGACCCCTAAAACAGTGGTCATGTGGCCCTGGCTGGGCCAGTCTGAGCTCCCCAGTTGGTGGTCTTGTCGGGGCAGAAATGTGTCCTGTAGTGCTTGTCACCAAGAAGTGGTGAAGAGTAGAGGAGAAGCAAGTTGGAAATGTGCGGGGCCCGAGGCTGGTCTGGTGGAAGGTTCTTCCAATCACCACACATGTAAAATAGTTAAATGGACGATTGGATTCTTAATTTCTGGTTGAATTTGAAATTCTCTTCTGTTAGGAATATGCCAGATAAAAGCTATATAAGCATACCATATAGTAATTTCTTTTTTTGATGGAAATTGTGCAAGTTTAAAATTATCAGGGTTCCCGTGGACCCTGGTAATAAACTCACAGGATTAAAGCAAATAGTGATTAGGTCTTTGTGTGAAGTTACATGATTCAGGAAGCCTAATGTACCGGACTGTGTCTTCGCAAGACATTACCAATAACAGATTGTGAAGCTAAAATAAACTTTTCTAAACTATCCTCCTTGCTAGAAAACAGCCTGAAGTCTCTTTCTATTCCCTTTATGGATAATGGGATTTCAAACTTCTTGTCACATGAAGAGGCAGTCAAAAAGAGTATGTCGCCAAAAAGAAAGGATAACAGTATTCTAGAAGTGTGTCAGACAATTCGCTAACACAGACTCATGTTATTTTATTTGTATTTTCCGTTTTAATGATATTTGCCAGCTTTTAAAAACCTGTGACTTATTGTGATGTATTTCCTTCCTTCCTTCCTTTGTCTTTCTTTCCTTCTTTCCACTTTCTCTTGACAGAGTCTCATCACTCTGTGCCCCAGCTGGAGTGCAGTGACATCATTGTAGCTCGCAACAACCTCAAACTCCTGGGCTCAAGCAGTCTTCCTGCCTCAGCCTCCCAAGTAGCTGGGACTACAGGCTTGGGCCACCATACTCAATTAATTTTTCTATTGTTTGTAGACATGGGGGTCTTATTCACGCTCAGGGTGGTCTTAAATGCCCACCTCAAGAGGTCCTCCTGCCTTAGCCTCCCAGAATGCTAGGGTGCAAGCATGAGCCACCGTACCTGGTCCCTGTATTTACTTATTCTATTCATCTTCATATTGAATTGTGCATGTGTAATCTTGCATTCATTGTCTTTAAGAGTGCCCCATTTTCAAGCCCCATTACCTGGCAGCTCCCAAGCAGGAAGCCGGGTACAGGAGGGCAGGCTTACTGAGGTTGACCCCAGGGCGTAATGGGCCCCTGTCAAGGAGAATGGCAGAGAGAGGCTCCTTTTCTCTGCAAACAGATATCTTCCAGCTGCTTCAACCTTCTGCACCTGTAATGAGTGGAGAGATGATTAAAGACTAAAACAGGTGGCACGTTCCAGAATCCTGAAAAAGACTCAAAAAAATGTCACTCTTTGAAACTGAGATTTATAAAATCCAACATCAAATGGATGAAGATAATCACAGGTTGGGCACTTCCCAAATCTCACCAGAGTTCTCAAAGAGCAAGGTAGCCCTTCAACCCGTCAAGTGTTGAGAGCGTATCCTAAAACCCCATCTGGGAAACACCGATGTAAATGTTCCTAATAAGAGACGCACTTCCCAAGAATACAGCTAAATGGATAAAAAAGAGAAAGTGTTTAAAAAGCAAATTAAAATTTGGCGGTCCCACACACACATATACACAGATGAATAAATTAGACTAAAAAAGCTTCAAGGCAGAAAACATGTGACGATTTTTATCCAAGACAAATGACACACAGGGAAAATATTTGTAACTCATATCACAGCCAAAAAGTGATTTTCCTAATATACTAGAGCTCCTATAAATTGATTTAAAAAAAAAAATCCAAAAATCTAATAGAAAATAGACAGTTCATAAGAAAAGAAACACAAACGCCTCTCAGATAGAGGGAAAGATATTAAACCTTCATAATAAGTGAACGGTGAATAAACTTGCTCTGGAGTATCACTTTTCACCTCTCAGATTGGCAAAAATGAAAAAAAGGTTGGTGAAGTTGGGAGAAATAGGCTTTTTCATAAGTTGTTGGCGGGTACAGATACAATTTCTGTGGACAGCAATTCGGCACTGTGCATCCAAATCACCAGCTCATCTACCCTTTGACTCAGCTATTTGACTTCTAAGACTTTATCCTATTCATAGAGCCACGTATGCACGATAGGACGTATGTACAAGATTATTTCCAACACTCTTTGTAGTCACAAAAGATGGGAGGCCCCCTACATGTCCATCTGGAGGGGCCACATCAGTCCTCCTGTGCATCCATACGCTGAATTGTCACTCAGCTGTAGAAAAGAATGAGGGAACTTTGTTTAAACTGACATGGAATGATCTTCCAGATATACAAAGTGAAGAAAAAAGCAAAGTAGAAAAGACGTATAAAATACCATTATTGTTTTTAAAAGGAGGAGCAGGAGGAATATGGCAGCGCGCGTGTGTATTTGAATGAACACAGAGATCCCTCAGGGCCCATCAGGAACTTCTGACATCTGCCGTCTCTGGTATGAGGCTTTGGATGCCTGGGGATGAGGACATAAGTAGGAGACTGGTGTCTGCCTGGTGTCTTCCTGGTGCACAGTGGAATCACTGCAGTCGCCATCAATTCTGCAAGCACCGTGGCACGTTCCAGGGATGCAGCAGTTACTAAAGCAGGCAAGTGTCCTGTCCTCCAGGAACTTTTATTCCCTATGGAATGAAACAGGAAATAAAATATATGGATGGACATTCAAATGGATGATCAGAAAGGAAGAAAAAGAGAGAGAGAAAGGTCAGGTACTTGAAGAAAATGAAAAGCAGCCAGCGGAGAGAGTGTGATGGGGATGGCGGTCGGGGAAAGTCCTCCAGATACGGAGGGTGGGAGGATGCAGGGGATGACAAGTGCAAAGGCCCAACATGGGTATGTTTGAGGAACGGTAAGGAGGCCGGCATGGCTCCAGCAGAGAGGAAGGGGGCCGAGACAGATGCTGGATGTGTCCCTCCATCAGCCATTCTCAGGATCAGTGCAGCCTTCTCCAAGGAAGCCCAGTCCCCTCCCCACACTTGAGGTGTCCAACACAACAGGACAATGCCAGTGTCTGAGCTGTGGCAGATAAATGGTTCAGGACATCCAGCATTCTGGGTTTCATCTGTAATGACTGCTGTCTGCACTAACTTTCCAGGACCAAGGCAGCCCTTGGACAACTCCAGGACCATGACCAGTACCATGGCCCAAACAGAAGTGTTTCCCTCCACGGTGCAAAAGCAGCCCTCCCTTCTCCTAGAGAAGGCCTCTGTGTCTTGGAAGGAAACCAATGCAAACATCTCTTCTAATATTGGCCATTGCTGGGCTTGTATGTTCCAGAAGGAGCTGCAGACGAGCCTTCCAAGCTGCTCTCCAGAAAGACGACTGGGCCCCGTGGGACCACAGCTTCCAGCAGGGGTGCCTTTTCTCTGTATGACAGGTGCTATGTCAACTTTCCGGTCACACGGGGTGCTTACTCTTCAAGGCAGCATGTCCCCCGGGGAAGAAGGTTGAATCCTGCATAATTGGACAGTTGGCTGTACCCGGAGAGAAGTGTTTACAGAGCACATCAGAAGCCAGCCCGGGCCATGCGTGTTTGCTCAGCAGCCACACGGCAAACACCAAGAGCTGCCCTTGCATGGAGGGGTCAGAAAAGGATTTTCCTCAAATCCAAGTAAGCCTCTGGGGTGATGGCTTATTCAAAAGGCTGTGGTGCAGGGAAGGGTGTCCAGAATATGGGTGCCAGGCCTCCCTCGTCTGGGTGGACACAAAGCGTATCTGCTCTCTTATTTTGCTTTCTAGCAACAGAAGTGACTCTGGGATACTGAGGGGACCTGCGCCTGTCTTAGGGCCTAAGTGCTGGGAACAACCAGCACCCAAAGGCCAGTGTAGGGCAGAGGGGGTGGAGAGCAGGCTGGGCCACTGGCTGTGCTGATAACAGAGACCCAGGCTTTTATGCACATGATTAGTGATGAGCTAGTTGCCTGGCAACAGAGCCCCTTCCTCCTTCCATCTTACCCCTCAGGCTGCATGTAATGTTTGTGACATTTTTCTTTTCAGAGCAGAGACAGGGAGTCGCCCCCTTCATTGTCTGAAGATGATGCCCACCCCTAACCCCCTTACTCGCTTATTGATCTGACTGCTGATTAGAAATCATCTCAAACCAGTTGATTATCAATTGCACAGTGGATCGATTGCGGTACCAAGATAACCCCAGGGATAGGAGTTCATATAAGTGAAGTGCTGAGACCAGGACCTGGCATGCAGGGAAAGGATGTATAAACATTAGCTGCTAAAATAACGCTTTTTCTTTTAGGAGATTCAGGTAGTAAAACCTGCACCAGGCAGTCTTCACTTTTTTTGACGAGCTTCATTATTTTCTCCCAGGCTCTCAGAACATTACAGCCAGAGCTCTCTCTGCCCTGCTCTCTGCATCCAAGGGCTTCTGTTTACAAACAAGAAACCAAGGCCCAACAAATGAGGTGAAGTTTCTGTCATAGTCACACAGCTCATCATTCCAGAGCTGTGCTGAATACAGACCTCCTGGTCTTCAATTTCTCTCAATTATACTTCTGGGCCTCAAAATTCAGTGCGATGGGTCCAGCCTATGGCTCACACCTATAATCCTCTAGGAGGCCAAGGCAGGTGGGTCACCTGAGCTCAGGAGTTGGAGACCCAGCCTGAGCAAGAGTGAGACACCATCTCTACTAAAAATAGAAAAACTAGCTGGGCCTTGTGGTGGGTGCCTGTAGTCCTGGCTACTTGGGAGGCTAAGGCAGGAAGATGGCTTGAGCCCAGGAGTTTAAGCTGTGAGCTATGATGACGCCATGGCACTCTACCCATGGCCACAGAATGAGACTGTATCTGAAAAAATAATTCAGTGTGATAACAGTCCTCACCAGGAGTCCATCAAGAATGCAGATCTATGATCCCTCCCACTGCGACATATTGGTTTCCTAGAGTTGCTGTAGCAAATTATTAAAAACTCAGTGGCTTAAAACAGCACAGATTTATTATCCACAGGAGTGCTAAAGAGTTTGGGACTGAGAGAGTTCATGCAGGGGGACTCTGGGGAGGATCTGTTCTTTACCTTTCCAAGCTTTCAAGGCCACCTGCATTCCTCGGCTCGTGGCCACTTCACTGCCATCTCTACTGCTGTCATCAAGTCTCCTCTGCCTCGCCCATCTCCTTCTTTCCCTTCTAAGGACCCTGTGATAACTTGGCCCACTCAGATCACCTGTAATAATCTCCCCATTGCAAGGTCCTTAATGACATCTACAAAGTCTCTTTTGCCACGTAAGGTATTCACAGGTTCTAGGAATTGGGACATGGACATTGTGGGGTGGGGGTTTGTTAATCAGTTTCCCCCTCCCCATCCCTCAAGCAAGGTTCTGATGCAGCCTGCCAGGGTAGAGCCCTGGAATCTGCATATCAAACAACTCTCCTGCCTGGGAAGCAGGTTACCCCTAAAGGAAACTGCACCACACCCGGCTGAGGTTGGCTAAAGGGATGCGGCTGTCAGGGCAAGGCCATCGTTTCCACTTTGTAAGATAACCTGGAAGCTTAGAATAGTGAATTTCTGGCTCAAAGTTCCCCTTTTCAAGCCAGACTTTATTATTATTATTTTTGGCTTTACATGGCTCTCCATTTTTTTTTTTTTTTTTTTTTTTGCAGTTTTGGCCGGGGACCAAGCTTGAACTCACCACCCCTGTATATGGGGCCAGTGCCCTACTCCTTGAGCCACAGGCACTGCCCAAGGTTCTCCATTTCAAGCCAGATTTTAAGCCTCCACCCCCTATTTCCATGTCCACTGGTCTGGTTACTGCAGCACAATCGCCACCTAGATTCTCCCTGAACTCAGTAAACACACATTGTGGACACTGCTCCCTCAGTGGGTCCAGGGAGCTGCCCCAGGCCCTACTTCCTGGCTTCAGGCTTAACCACCCATCACTTGGGAGACCCTGGACAAATGAGGCATCTCCTTCACTTCTTCCCATGCCGGGCTGACCCCTACCCATAAGCTGAGAGACACCTGTTCACACAGAATGCAATTGACGAGGTAGATCAATTTCAAATACACGGGACAGGAATAACATTGGAGCCTTTTGTCGGACTATCTACACGGACCAAACTGATGGGAGTTAACGGTGCAGGGAGACAGGGTGTGAGGGTGACGGGCCTTTTCTCTTTATGTCCCAAGAGGACAGATAACAAAGGAGACCCTCCTCGCTGCTGGTGAGTGAGCAAGTAAGCACTAGATGGCAGAGCGTGTCCAGGAATGAGAATGCAAACGCTCCCTCCTTTGCTTTCAAGGGTGGTTTTGCAAAGGGCAAGCTTACAGTGTGAAGGGCCTTAGTCCAGCCTTAGTCAATAGGTTTCTAATGGGGCTGTATAACTGGAAATAAGGATGACAAGAGAACTCCTGGGGTGGGCTGAGAGTGGATGCTGTGGGAAGAAGGACCATGAATGCCTGTTAAGGGATCAGTTGGCTCTGCATCTTCATCCTCCTTTGGTGAGAATTGACCTCCCACTGCTACTTGGCACTTTGTCAGAAGGCAGCAGGTTTAAGTCTTGAGAAGCATCAAACAGTGTTTCAAGAGTTTTCTGGGACATAGTCCCTGCAGCGGGAAAACATAAAAAATAATAGCTTTGTGTTTTACTTATTTATTATTATTATTTTGCACATTAATATGATCATGGACATCCACTAATCAGCAGACACATCTCACCGCACTCCTATGGCCTGACACCTGAGTGGAAGAGTCGCTATGAAAGGGGTGGAGGGTGGGGCAGCGCAGCATGACGGGTCCCTTGCTTGGGAATGAACCTTAAGAATGCACAATTCAAACCTCTGTAATGAAGATAGATGTGGATAGATTTGAATTTAGCAGTGGCCTCAAGATACTTGGTTATTTAGAACAGTAACTACCTTAATGTACTTTCTTGTAGTCTCATTTAGACATTACAACAACCCTGTAAGACAAATGCTGTTAGTATTTTCCACATTTTTACCATTGAGGAAATGGAAACTAGAGGGCTAGGAATGTTGTCCAAGATTGTCCAGCTAGGAAGTGGTTCAACCAGACCTCCGACCGTGAACTGTCTGACAGCAGAGCCCAGGAACTTAGCTCCTGTCTTCCTGGAAGGCCCCGTACCCTGGCGGGGAAAAAATCCTGGGTCACAGATTCGGACACTTTCATGTTCTAATCTGAATTTAGTGATGATTTGGAGTGGGGATGGTCTTTGAAAAGTGACTCCACATCTTTGAATCTTAAGGTCTTATAATGAGGCAAACACTTCAGAATTCAACTGGTCAAAGTAAATGTGACATAACCTCTATGTGAGAGACATTTGGAGCAAGAGCCCAGATGAGTGGGTGGAGCCAGGGGCCATCCCCAGCTCTGAGATCTGTGGGAAGCTGAGTCTAGGTCAGAAGGAAGTTTTTATCAAATGGAAATGTAACAGGATGATGTAAGGTATTGATTAGGGTTTTCTCTCAAACTCCCAGTTGCTGAAAAGTACAGAAGGTGTATCCTTCTGCTCACAGGCTCAAATTCAAGGGCGGGAGACTTGTCTGAGGACAGCTTCATGTGAGGCAAAGAGAGGCGAGTATTGGAGAAACACTGAGTGAGGCCATCAGCAGGACTCAGCTGGAAGAGGACACCACGTTTCCAAGGGCCCACAGGCAACTGCATGGCATTCGGTGCTAGGGAAGGTCTCGGGCCACCTGATCAGCCATAGGGAACAACAGTCCTGCTACAGGCAATCACAGAGGACATATTCAACTTTGCCCTTTCATCCTGTTCCCCCAAAGCCATAGGGTAATCACTGGCAAACGTGTGCACATGGAAAACATCTCTATCCCTCACCCCCAGATTTTCTAAAGCCACCAGTCCAGTCTGCACTAGAGGGAAGGAGGAAAGCTTTAAAACACTTTATAGCTGGGTGTCAGATTGAAATTTCAAATTGAACAGAACTGACTCTTAATAACTAGAGAGAAATTGTTTTGATACCTAAGATGAAAAGTTATAGAATCAGACTGGGATTTATGTAGCTAATGGAGCCAGCAACCCAGTGGGAAAGGGAGGTTCCACACAGTATAATTGATAGATTTTATTGGGGGAAAAGAAGCATTTCATGTTTATCTCCCTAGAGAATTGATAATCTTCGCTAAACCTGTTACTCGAGGGAAAATCAATAAACATGTATTCTCACAGGTGGAAGATGACAGCTTGCCTTTTCCCAGAGTGTGGTTGGCTCCTGTGCATGTGGGGAGACCACATGGCTCTCCAGGACCTCAGTCCTGCACAAGTGTCTTGAGGACCTCAGATAATGGTGGGGGGAGCCCAAGTGTCTCTTCTGATCAAATTTGTAATTGTAGCTCTTTCTTCTGCTCTCATGACGAGTACTAGGTTAGGATGTGCATCTTAAGTGTTTTCCCTCTATTCAGGGAATTTTGCCCTCTGAGAGGTCTGAATCAACCCCACACCCATCATATTCCTGGCCCCTTACTGTGTCTCTCTCCTGAACTCTGGGCTTCAGGATGGCTGAACTTACACTGTAGACACAATGGTGATAATCTCACGTCAACCCTGAGTTTCTAACCCTCCTTGGATATATATTTGGGCAGTATAAGAGCGCAGAGATAGACACATCAGTGGAACAAAGGCAAGAGTCCAGAAACAAGGCTAGGTGTGATGGCTCATGCCTTTAATCCTAGCACTCTGGGAGACAACGCAAGTGGATTGCCTGAGCTCAGGAGTTTGAGACCAGCTTGAGCTAGATGAGACCCTGTCTTTAAAAAAGTAGCTGGTTGTTGTGGTGGGCACCTGTAGTCCCAGCTACTTGGGAGGCTGAGGCAAGAGAATCACTTGAGCTCAAGAGTCTGAAGTTGCTGTGAGCTATGATGCCACAGCTCTCTACTGAGGGCAACAAAGTGAGACTTTGTTTCAAAAAAGAAAAGGGAAATAAAAAGTCCAGAAACAGATCCAAAGACTATATTATAATTCTTCTTTATCCTCTGTGATACAGAGGCTATCACCAATCCATGGGAAAAGGTAAAACTATTCCATAAATAATGCTTGGAGAATTGGCTAACCATGTGTGGAAAAACA